GGACCAAACTTTAAACTGAGGGTATATCTAAACCTTTTCAAATAGTTTAGGGGCATATTTGACCCTTTTCCCAATTAATTATAAACTCGACAAACATAAATTAAGTGTATATCTATTTTTAATACAATGACTGAGTTTTTTTTTATCAATTCTTATTTTTTAATAAGTATCACAAATAAAATAGACCAAAAGGGAGAGAGAAACACAACAATAATTAATTACTTTTATCTATTCCTTTTTACTTTTCATTTTTTTATAAATTAAAAAACGAAATATTCTTTTACTTATTATTTTTTAAATTTATTTAAAGAGTTAATATTTTAAATAAAGATAGAACGTCTTTTATGAGTAAATGAATTTTAAAATTTTATTAATTAATAAGGATAAAATAATTATCTCACTCCATTAATTATTATTTTCTTAATATAGATATTAAGTAAAAAATCGACAAATAAATAAAAATGGATAGAATAATTTAATGGCTATGCATATATAATGTGAACTAAAGAATATTGCAAATTAATACTGGTGGCAGGAAATAGTTCATATAGAATTAATGTCTAACGATAACTATAATGAATTTTATATTATTTCTAGTATTTATTTCACTAAATAAAAGAAAAGGAGATTCTCTACAACACAATATACACAAGAATTATTTTCTATAGTTCATGGAAAGCCACTACATGAGTACAAAACATTTTTAAAAAATTTACAATACATTAATCGTGCATTGCTTAATTACTAAATCCTAATAATCCCATAATTATCTTCTAATCACTAATGGAATATTTGCCTAAGATCTAATCATTCACAATTATATATTTTAAAACTCCTAACACATGCTCAATATTGTAATGATATTGTTGATACTATATATACTTGCCTAGACAAGTGAATTAATCATCAACTTTCTCATTAGTTATTTGTTTTTTTTGTCCCTTAATTCATTCATAAATATTACTTATTTAAGTTATAATGGCTATCTCATCGACTCGTGTTATTGGAATAATTCTCTTAATTGTTCTTTTTAGTGGCATTATGGTTTCTGCTGATGTGTTAGGGCGGCGCATGCTCGGTGCAGGCGGCGTTGGTGGTGGTGGTGGTCCTGGCTTAGGTGGATTTGGATTTGGTTCTGGTGTAAGTGTTGGTGAGGCAAATTTTGGGACTGGATTTGGTGGTGGTGTGCTTGGTGGTCAAGGTCTTGGTGCTGGTGGTGGAGATTAAATTGATTGATTAAATTACCATATATGGTAATAATAATAAAAAAATTATTATTTTTTCTGTATCAATTTATATGACTTATGTTTTTACGGTGTGAAATTGTGTTTCTTTTTCCCAAAGTTGTTATGTTGCAATTGTTTCGGAAGCTTAATGGATTAAATTTATCTTCCTTTTAATTCGATATGATGGTGATTGGATTTCGAATGTATCGATTTATACATTCTTCAACAATAGTTGGTTATATCTGCTCTTTTTCTATTCAACCCATCGAGCTTTTCATTTAGCAAGATATTCAAAAGGGGAAAAAGAAAAATATAGCCCTGAACTATCGTAAATGGTATGCAGATATCTTCCGTCATACTTTTGGGACATTGGTGTTCCTACCATCCAAAAACTATAGCATATATGTCCTTCACGCTAACAGAAGACTAAATAGGGACACGTGACACAATTTTATCCATCGATCCGATATTTAATAAATGCCGAGTTGGTGGATAAGATTATGACACGTGTATGTCCATTAGTATAAAGGATATATATGTTGTAGTTTTTTGATGGCAGAGGAATCAATATCCCAAAAATATAATAGAGAATATCTGCATACCATTTACGATAATTCGAAAATATATTTATTATTTTTCCCTATTCAAAATGCTAGCCCAATCTAGATACATTTTTTCACCACGAGTTCTTTCTTTAAGGAGCAAAATGTTTTCTATCGAAGACAAATTTATTTATAGGATTTCAAGATCTCTGATATTAAGAACGATGAGATACTTACTATCTCATCATCATAATTTTTTTTTATCTCACCATAATATATTTAGTTGTCTATTGAATTATTTTGTACCCGTCCGACAATTATATATTATTTTTTATGTTGTATTTTTTCCAAGTATATATTTTATTTCATAATAAAAGAGAAAAAAATCAACCACAACCATAATATATCAATGTAATCTTATAAATGGAATATGAGAAAAGAATAGTATATACGCAACTTTAGCCTATCTGGTGAAAGTAGATATAGCTTGTTTTTGATATATTCTCGGCTAAAGTAAAACATCACAAGTAGTCACAAAAATGAGTAAGAAAAAGAAATATAGTAATAAAGGCAAATCAGAGAAGTAGAAAAAAGAAGAAGAAAAACATATAAATAGATAATAACAAATAATCGAAATACAATAAGAAATAATAACCATATGGAATGTAACAACAATAATATTAACAGAGTATCTAGAGAATTATCGACTACCAATTAACCTCTATCCTAATTCTAATCTTTATATTCTACTCTCATATCCTCGATAAGTTGATGTAAAAAAAAAAATATCCAAATTGATAAAAAATATAATTGTCTTTCCAATTATTCTTTCTTATTATTATCTAATATATACATACACGTTCTCATTCTAACTATAAATATATTATACGAATTCGGAGTCTAAAGAGTGAAAAATGTTAATAAAAATTTTAAAACGGTATATGAAATTTCTTTTTAATCAAAACGGTAAAATCGCTCATGAAGTAGCGATTTTGCCCGCTTGAAAGAGTAAAATCGCTGCTATAGCAACGATTTGTTAAATTTATTTTTTTAAGAAAAAAAAATTAAACAAAATCGCTCCCAAAGGAGCGATTTCCAAACTAAAATTTTCTTTTTTTAATATGTCGCTGCTGAGACAGCGACTAAAGTTTAATTTTTTTTTAATTATTTTTTGCTTCTTTTTGTTATCAACAGCTACATACCAAAAATATAACAAAAAATATATGTATTTTGAAAATCGCTTCTTAGGGAGCGATTTTGTTTAAATTTCAAATTTAACAAATCGCTGTTATAATAACGATTTTACTTTTTTCGACGGACATAATCACTACTTAGTGAGTAATTTTGCCTTTTAATTTTAAAAAAAAATTCATATAACATTTTGGAACTTTTATTAACATTTTTCACCCTTTAGGCTCCGAAACCAACTATATTGTTCATGGAGAGCCACTAAAATGAGAACAAAACATTGTTTATTCACAATCGTGCATTGCTTAATTTCTAATAATCCCATTATATATTTTTCTAATAATTAACTAATAGATTTATTGATCCTTAAGCCAATATAAAATAAATATAATGGGAGATTTGGCTAAGATCATAGAAATAATCTTGTTATTCACAATTATATATTTTTGAGTTCCTAACATATGTTCAATAAAAAATAGACCAATTGAACATTATATAAACTTGTCCATAGAAGTACATTATTATCATATATCTTACAATTTTATCATTTTCTCTTCATAAATATTTTTAGTACATATATTTAATTTAAAGCTACAATTAATATAATGGCAATTTTTTCAGCTCGTGTTATTGGAGCAATTCTTTTAATTGTTCTTTTTAGTGGCATTATGGTTTCTGCTGATGTGTTAGGGCGGCGCATGCTCGCGGCAGGCGGTGGAGGTGGCGGTGGTGGTGGTTTATTTGGTGGTGGGTTGGGTATTGGTGGAAGTATTGCTGAGGCAGCGGGTGGCGCCGGACTTGGTGGTGGTTTGGTTGGTGGTAAAGGTATGGGCATTGGAGGTGGTGATTGATTAATCGAAAAAGGTCAAGATATACTCATGAACTATTGAAAATAATATATTCTTTACGTAAGTTTTAAGTGTACATCAGACCATTTTCCGTTAATTGCTTGCTTGCAAAAGATGAAATTTGTACTTCTATTTTTTTTATAAGATAATATGAGTGTGTTTTATTTTGGATTGGCTCTAAATTCTGATTCATCAAAATAAGAGCTTAATTATTGCTTTATTCAATTCTTTTTACATATATTGTATCATATTTATAATGTGTGTTGATGTGGGTTTTTATGGAGTTATAATTGTATCAATGATTATAATGGAGGGGTGAATTATTATTTTTATAAAATTGAAGTATTTGGTTTGATTTCATAATTGTATCAATGATTATAATGGAGGGGTGAATTATTATTTTTATAAAATTGAAGTATTTGGTTTGATTTCAATTTATTTTGTAGTTTTTGGTGTGTCTTTCATCCCTGTTATAAAAATGATTTGAATTTTATGAATTTATTTATTTTAAAATAATCAGCTTACTGTATTAAAGAACTACCATTTGCCAATAAATTAAAAGCTCTCGATTATAAATTTTAAAGTTAAAACTTAAAAATTGAGAATTTCATTTTTTTTAAGGAGGGAATAATAACTTATGTCTTGAAATAACTATTTTTTCGATTTATTTTTACTTATTTACATGGCAAGTACATTTTAAGCAATAAATAATATGACAGTTTTTATTATATCAATATTTTGAATATTACAAAATTCAATGTTTGAAAAATAACTATAGTTAATTAATAATAATGGTAATTAATTATAAACTCGACAAACATAAATTAAGTGTATATTTAATTTTAATACAATGACCGAGTTTTTTTTTTATATCAATTCTTATTTTTAATAAGTATCACAATTAAAATAAACCAAAAGTTAGTAAAGAAACACAGCCCAAAATTAATTACTTTCTCTGTCCCTTTTTATTTATCTAATTTTATCTATCTTTTTTACTTGTTATTTTTTACAAATCAAGAAACGAAACATTCTTTTATCTACTATTCATTCAATTTATTTATAGAGTTGAGATTTTTAATAAAGATAGAATAGATCCATTTTATTTATCATAATGAATTATATTTGTTCGATACACTGTTGTCAATATAAATATTGAATATTGTAAAAAAAAGTGAAAACAAAACTACAATTTACTTAGATTTATTGAATTCATAATGGATTCAATCAAGTTAACATATTTTATGAGTATATTAATTTTAAATTTTTATTAACTAATAAGAATAAAATAATGATCTTATTGTATCAATTTTTTTTAAAAATATATTTGTCAAGTAAAAAATCGACAAATAAATAGAAATGGATAGAATAATTTAATAGCTATGCCTATATAATGTGAACTAAAGAATATTGCAACTAGTACATTGACAGAGAGTACAAATTAATACTGGTGGCAGGAAATAGTTTGGTTGATCCATTAATGACAATTAGAAGACCCAATAAATGAGTGTTAGCTTGTTCAATCCAAAGTTCAAAGCCATTAAGAATGAATGGCCTACATGGATAAAAGAATCAACTAATAATTAATAGTTTAGCCTGGCTTAGCGATCAATAAAGTAAATTAAAATTATAAAATACATGAGGCATGTGGGATGGTTGCGGAGAAAGACTTCTTATAATTCCAGTTGAACCCTCAATAAAGTCAACATCGCTTTAGTGGGATCAACTGCTTGATTTTGACACAGAACTCGATATATATTGATCAATAAACAAAATTTATGAATAATTTCTTTGTATTTGTTTCAACTTTAATAGATAAGGTTTTGTTTTTCCCGCATAATACATAAACGAGTCATTTAACTTGTCTTTAATTGATATCGATGCCATTTAACTTAACCTGTGTATAAGTAGACACTTATTGTTTAAAATTGAATAGATTGAAACATTCGTCCTACGTGGCATCGTACATGCATCCTACATGACAATTTGTACGCGTCCTACTTGTATTATGTCACGTAAGATATGAGTGTCTATTTGTTAAATTTTATACAGACTCAAAGTTGAAGGACATAGATGTCAACTAAAGTCACGTTAAAAGACATAGTTATATATTATACTATATATATAAATTTTTGATCTCTCGGACGGTGTCATCGCCCATTCATCTTCATTGAAAATTACAAAAAAGGAGTGGAACAAAGAACTAACCTCAAAACACCGCAAAAAAGTCTATTAAAAACAATCGACTATAGCTATAAGAATATAAATTTGATCGATATGGTTAATTACTCGCTACTTAGGTAGATGGTGCGCAAACTAATATGGACATACAAAAAATAATTGCTAATCAATATAGGCAAAGAATCAACTAATTAAACACCATTAATATGGATATATAGATTAAGAGACACCCTAAAAGTCAAATAATCTCTCACAACCAAAAACACTAATTATGATAATTGTGTTGTCTTTGTGACTTTGTAAATTTGTGTCCGTGTATTGGAGGAGGGCAGTTGGAAGAATTAAATATATAGACCAATCATAAAGCAAACATGCATTTAAGTAAAAAGAAGATGACAGTTGAGTTTTATCTGGACCTACCATGTGATTTAATTTTGTGTAAAAAAGATTAGTTATTTTTGGCTACTATATAATTGGATAGGGATAGTGTACATTTTTGCATGTGATCTAGGGTTACAAAGTTGAACTAGTATAATACATAATTATGGGGTTATCATGTTTTTCTCTTGGTGGATATTTGATTTTGCTTGTGTTGTTTGTTGATTGTGTTGTTTATGCTGATGTTAATGGAGTTGGAGATGAGAAGCTCCTATTTGGACATAGAAAGTTTGGGAAGAGGTTTGGTGGTGGAGGTGGATTAGGTGGTGGAGGTGGATTAGGAGGAGGTGGTGGTTTAGGTGGTGGAGGTGGATTAGGAGGTGGTGGTGGTTTAGGTAAAGGTGGTGGACTTGGTGGTGGGGGTGGATTAGGAGGAGGTGGTGGTTTAGGTAAAGGTGGTGGACTTGGTGGTGGTGGTGGACTAGGAGGTGGTGGAGCCGGAGGAGGACTAGGTGGTGGTGGTGGACTAGGAGGTGGTGGTGGAGCTGGAGGAGGACTAGGTGGTGGTGGTGGAGCTGGTGGAGGAGTAGGTGGTGGTGCCGGAGGAGGAGTTGGTGGAGGTGGTGGATTTGGTGGTGGTGCTGGTGGTGGAGGAGGATTAGGTGGTGGTGCTGGAGGTGGTTTTGGTGGAGGTGGAGGGGCCGGAGGTGGTCTAGGTGGAGGTGGAGGCGGAGGATTTGGTGGTGGTGGAGGTGGTGGCATTGGTGGTGGTGGAGGTGCCGGAGGTGGCTTTGGTGGTGGTGCAGGTGGAGGCGTTGGCGGAGGTATAGGAGGTGGTGGTGGATTTGGTGGTGGTGGAGGCATTGGTGGTGGTCATTAATTATTGATCAATATATATAGTTCTTGCTATTATGTCTTGCATGAACTATATAAGAATGTGATCAAAATGTTAAATATTATTATGTACTTTTGTAGTTTCTATTTTTTTGTGAGAGTACTTTGTAAAAGTACTTAAACAAGAGTATATCATTATTTATCAATTATATCAAAAGTAAATTTGTCCTTTAAAGCTTCTTTACATGTTATTACATGTAAAATAAAGCTTATGGACTATTGTATTATCCAACCATATTATTAATAAAGTATGTTGTTTTCCAAGTGTGCTAAATTATCCCCAAAATAATTTATTTAATACGAACTATAGGGAGTATTTGCTCTATTTTTATTCTTTACTTCATTTTCATGCATATTTATAGAGTTCGATAACACTCGTGTCATTAACTGACGTTGAACCACTAAAAGTGAACCTTTGATCAATTTAACTCAACTCCGAGAAATAGTTTATAGGTGAAAATTATCCGAAAATTTATTTGAAGTGTAATTAATATATTATAGAGGTCTAAGAACGTCTTGTTATGGATATTATGATAATTAAAGAGATGGACTTGTAAAAGTCTAACTCAATTATCAACCAAAGTTGGCTTATGAAATAAAAATTATCAAAATCAATAATTAAACTAAATAATCATTCAGGATTGGAAATATAAAATGTGAACATTAATATAAGATATGGGCCTAATAGAGAGTAATCCTACTTGTGAGAATCTCAAATCTGCTTAACTTTAAATTTTGAATCCGTCTATTTCAAATCGAAGTCAATTTTCACCAAAACTAATTATTGAGTCCATCATTTCGTCCCCCACCAGGCCAGATATTTGGCAGCTTGTATTTGTCTTATGAAATACTATACTAGGTAAAATGCTCAAACAATGGAATTGAAGTTTGATAAAGATAAACAAATAATTTTTACACTAATCATTTTTTTTATGTATATCGTAACAGGTAAGTTGTCTTAATTTTAAATTTTCAAAATCTAAATTTTAAGAAGATTTTAATCTAAATATAAATATTAACAAGGATTGGGATCTCGAAAGTAAGATTAGTGATCAAAGTAAAATCGTAACAAAATAGTTATAATAGAAGGTATGACTGAATCTATCACCTCCTTTTCACATAGATTTGATGATTGCTAGATTTTTTAGTTTGACATCGTTTCTCACCCCCCTAAAAAAAGGGAGGTATGTTTGAATTTAACTTGGATGAACGACTAATATAAACGATATATATTAACACTAACAATATACAAGACTTTTACCTCTTAAAATTTTATGCACAATACAAAATTATGCCCTTTAAATTAGTTTCAACTCATATCTAAGCCCTTCAACTTTACATATGCAGAAATAAACAATATAAATTAAACAACCACACACATACATTCTATATAGTAAAATGCACGTTAAATATTATATAATTTATCTGTTTTACAAAGAATGACCTGATTTGACTTGGCACAGAGTTTAAGAGTATAAAGAAGACTTTTGTATCTTGTGGTCCTATACTAAAGTTAGGTTAAATGTACAAAATGTCCTTTAATCTTGTGGTCTTAAACATGTCACCGCCACGTGAAAAGCTAATTTTAAAATGTTACTAAAAAAAATCATTCTTTTTAAAAGAAACTAAAAAAATAAGATTATTTTTTTTAAACGAAAAGAGTGTAAAATATAAATTATCATGTAGGACATCATATAAGATACGTGTGATATAAATACAGTCAAAACTTTTTTGTCCTTGTGATAACCTGTTCTTTTTTTTATTTGGCCCACATATTTGACAAGACAAATGAAAAAATCCATGAATTATTATTTTCAAGATAAAAAAGCCAAGAAGTAAAAGTTAGATATATATACATCAGAGTTTACAAAGAGATCTGACACCACTGCTCTATTAATTTGATGGCTCTACTTTTTCATATCTGAATCACTGTCTTCAATATTGATTTATAAAATTATTCATATCACATGACATAAAATTCAATTTTAAATAAACCATAGTTTAATTTTAAAGATATAAATTAATTAATATAAAAAACACTGAGACTTTGAATTCACAACAACACTATATCCAACAATAATAAATAAAATGAAATGATGGAATATATTTGGTCCCCTAATTTTGAATTTTGGTCCTCTCCTTATATTTAATGTTGAATTAATTGAGATGTGTGTATTTTTTTGGTAGCCTGTACTTAAATATGTTATATTTTGAAGTATAGTACCATTAACGAAACATATACAATAAACAAAATGATGGAAGTGAAACGGTTAATAATTCCGAAAAATTAAATATACGAATATTAGAGGTAAAGGGATCAAAGGTGTACATTTCGAGTAATTGAAGTTAAATGTATATGTTTAATCAAGTATCATAGGAAGCAAAATTAAAATTCATGTACATATGATATGCATAAATATCACAACTAAAAACAAAGTATTATACATATATATATATATATATATATATATATATATATATATATATATATATATATATATATATATATATATATATATATATATATATATATATATATATA